TTTGATGGATGAAGACTGCAATCAAGGTAAAGATGATTGCGGTGGCGTACAGGAGTCGTTCAGTAAGCACACTTGAGTCCGTTATAATAATGTGTGTATGAGTGCTCTTGACGCACTGATCGCACATTGTATTTATGCACAGGCACAGATTTCCACACACATTCACGATAATGTTTTGATTTGTCATGTTTATGTTGCTGTGTTTAGTTATTCTGAATGGATCCGTGTACTGTATTAGATAAATGCAGTCAGCAGGTGGTTGGTTTACGGGTTTTTGGCATCTCCATGTGGTCCTGTTCGGTATCGCAACTTGTCTTCTATAATATGTAAAAAAGCTCACTGTACACATAGGCTACTATACAATTATGATTTTTTAAGCATTTTTTCCCCTTTCATATGTGCTTATATGGGCTCCTTATATCATTTGGTTCTTTGGTGTCCTTTTGGAGTTTCCTTTTGGAGTTTTGGAGTTCTTTTGGAGTCCTTTTTTGGAAAGACATCTACATTTATCTTGAAAAAATCTTGCAGAAAATACAGATTTTTGAGAATCACCCTTCAATCTTTTGGTTTACTTTGCTGGATATAGCAAATGATGACAAAATAAACATTTGAAACAAGATAAATGGTCTATGCTTAATTTCATGAAGTAAGCGATTAATCGCGATTAATCGCAGAAAAAGGGTGTGATTAATTAGATTAAAATTTTTAATCTATTGACAGCCCTAATATATATATATATATATATATATATATATATAATGAAATTAACACTTATTCAGCAAGGATGCATTCATTTGATCAAAAGGGACAAAGATTACAAAAGATTTATATTTCAAATAAATGTTGTTCTATGAACTTTCTATTCATCAAAGAATCCTCAAAAAAACTGTATCTCAGATTCCACAATAATATTAAGCAGTACAACCTTTTTGACATTTTTCGACGCGTCTTTGTGTTCATACCCAAGCGATTTTCGCAGGCGATGAGCCGAGTGAATGTGCAAATTCACTCCCTGACATTAGATGGAGCTTAATGAAAAACAGAAATAACCCGGTACACAAGGTGGCACTGTGCAACTTTACGCTTCTGACACTCGCTTGTCACGCAGAAGAAGAAGAGAGCCAGTATTTACGTGCTTGTCAAAACCATTCACACCATTTTTGTAGGCGCTGTCGCGTTTGTCATAAAGCTATTTGTGTTCAGACACCAATGAGACCAGCAGCTCTACATTCATCTTGCCTCGATGCATCTTCTTCATCTACTTACTTCCTCTTCGTCGTTAGGTATCAATGTGTGCTCGGCAAGACCGGTTTGTGCGTTTTACGCCT